AATCCAGAATGAATGACATTTTTGTTTTTTTAAATTGCATTACAGAAAATAAAGAACTTTATCACAATATTCTAATTTTCTGAGACAGTCCTGTAGATAGAGAGCGCTCTGTTTTCCAGCCTGAGTCTATTTAATTTATTATTTTGGTTGTGTGTGATTTAATAAAAAAAATTTTTTAATTGTATTTATTTATTATATATAATTTATATATTTTAATATTATTTCACATTTCATTTGCAATGTTGCTTGTTCTATAAAAAGTTATGTTTGAAAGGATGTACTTTAATTATTATTATCATTATGCCAGCGGTCTAAAATGGTCTTACAACAGTGCCGACAATATTATCGTTTATCGCAACAATTTCCGGGAAAATGTATCGTCCAACAAAATTCATTATCGTGACAGGCATATGGGTATCGTCCAACAAAATTCATTATCGTGACAGGCATATGGATGGGATCTGTGGTCAACTTTCCAAACCCTATTTAAATTTTTGTTTGTTTTTGTACACACCTTGTTTTTCTCCACCATCCCCTGTATCTGGTAGGCGACTTGGCCAGCGTAATGGGCCACAGTGAAGTGCGGCTGTTTGCTGAACTTGTCCCAGCTGATGTTGGCATTATTGCTGAGTTCCTTCTCCAGACGCACCTTCATTGTCTTTGCGTCTGAGGCACGATTAAGACGACTCTCCTGTAGCAGAATTAAAAAAGTTACATATTACATAGTCAACCTACTTACTTACTATTCCACACTACCCACTGCCTTTGTTTTTACCTGTGAAAGCACTTTGTAACTTTGTTTTAGAAAGATTATATATAAATCAAATCTTACTAACGTTACGTACTTACTTAAGATACATATATTTAATGAGACAAAAAGAAAGTGCAGTCCAGAAAATGACTGCACTGAAACAAAGGTTTAAAGAGCTAAAGGATGTTACTTGTATTTCATTCTATTAAAAACAAATGACATTGGCTTTAATGTGAAAGAGTAAATCCATAAAAACTAGTAGGATAATTTCCAGCCATCCTTCTTTCTAGATAATGATTTAAATGAAATTCTGTAATGTAAAAAACTTGGTGATTTAAGAAGCAGAGTAATGACTGTTGTTTTATTCTAAACTGTGTCTTTTTATGTTTTTTAAAGTTAGTTTTTATTTGTATTAATTTATTTTGGTTTGTTTTACCATTATAATTGTGTGCTGTCTTTTTAGCTGTTAAGTGTTATGCAAGCTGTTCTGTTGAAAACTGTGATAGTTCAACAGAAAATATGTATTTTTTTTATTTTTTTTAAAAACAGCTTACCTCGTTCAGAAGAGAAAACACACTGACAGGACTTCCCTCCAGAAGATCCAGACAGCTCTGGTTGTCTTGATATTTGACAAAGGACCACTCCAACCCCTCAGACACGTATTCCTCCTGGGAGAAGAAGAGAAGCACAAAATACACAAAGATGTTTTCACATGATGCAAGGTAAAACAAGTGTTTCTATTTACAGAGACTTCATAATGACTGGAGAAGCCTCCTGAATGTCTGAGGCCTGCACCTAAAGGGCAGTGAAACTACGGACCTACTGAGATCAGGTGCATGAAAAGGAAAACTGAAATCTGTACCTGCTGAGCTCTGAGATAATGAGCCACAAAGTGCTGCTGCAGCTTCTCATTGGCGTAGTTGATGCACAGCTGCTCCAGGTTATTGATCTGGAAACACTCAAACCCGTAGACATCTAGAACTCCTGGAGATCACAGAGAGGGGAGGCATTTGTGAGTTTATGAATAGAAACTGGGTATTAACATTTACAAATAAATGTATTTATATTCAATAAAGTACGAGACGATAAGGCTTTTACCTATAAAGTTGCACCATGTGGATTTGTCTGCACATATGCTGTTGTTGATGAATGTAACCAGCCATTCAAATAACCTGTTGGTAAAAAAGAGACAATCTCATACTCTTTCTCCAAAGCATAGAAATCCCTATCAATATAAAGAGTGATTAACAGATGCATCTTCCTCACTGTTTATTGTAAACAACAGGGCATGATGGTTTCACATTCGAGTGTTTGGTGGAAATGAGGAGTGCTCCAGGACAAAAACAAGTTCCTGCATGACCAGTCCTTTGAAACATTGCTGTGTTATCTGATGTCAGAGTCATTCTTACTGTGCGTAGATGACCTTGGCCAGGCAGTCTCTCCTCATGCTGCACTCGGCCCGGCAGCAGGGCTTGAGGACGCTCTGCTTCCCCGCCTTCAGCGTCCTCACTCTCAGACTCATGAGAAGCTCCTCAGAGGGGACACACAGCAGATCAGCAGCCCTCTGCAAGAAGTCTGAAAAAGAGCAGGAGTGGAAGGCAGACTGGTTGCTTCATATTTTGTATATCGGTTCTGGTTTGTTCAGAGTTATAGTCTAAAGAAGCAATGAGAGGCTGGAGAAGAATATAAACTATATTGTTTCATTTACTAAGTCCGATCTAAAATGTGTTTATGACTTAAGAACAGGTAAACAGGGCTTTCCAGTTCAATCGTTCTCATTTCCACATCTGTAAAACTAGGGTTTCCCACACAGACTATACTTGGGCGGGCCGCCCAGGTATATTAACAGCCGCCCTATAACTCGTTGTATGAAGGAAATGTCCGGTCACAAAGGCGCATGATGTGTGTGTGTGTATGTGCTCTGCTCAGCTCCGCTGTGTGTGTGTGTATGTTCGGTGTGTTTGTGTGTGTCCAACAACGGCATTTGTTTTCAAATTACCATGAACAGTAATTTACACACATCTGGCCAACTCCATAGGTATGTGGGTGTTCCCAAAAGAAGTTAGTTTAATCTTAATCTCGATGTAGTGCTAAATGCTGTCGGAGTGCACCAGAACGAACGCCCCGGTATGACGTTATTATGGCTGGCTAACAAGCCCAGGGGTCTCACTGACATTTCAGTTATATCAATATGTGTAAAGTGGTCTTAATTTGTTTTAATTGTATCCTGGTTTTAAACTGTGTTAATATGTTTTGGATGCATATTGTTCTATTATTTGTTCAGGCTGTTACATACAATTAGCCACTGTTGCCACCTATATTAGGCTATATTATATATTATATTAATATTTGTAAAGCGGTCCTAATTTTTTGTTTTAATTGTATCCTGGTTTTAAACGTTGTTAATATGTTTTGGATGCATATTGGTATTTCTTCAGGCTGTTAAATACAATTAGCCTCTGTTGCCACCTGCTGGTGAGTAAATATTAAAATCAGTTAAAATTGACAACCGGTCCGCACATTTTTTTTAATGTATCTGCCGGTCCTTGGCACAATAAAGGTTGGGAACCCCTGATCTAAATGCTCTCTAGCAAACTTCAGACGGGCCTGGACATGTACAGGCTTAAGCAGGGGGACACGTCTGGCACTGCAGGATTTGAGTCCCTGGCGGCGTAGTGTGTTACTGATGGTAGCCTTTGTTACTTTGGTCCCAGCTCTCTGCAGGTCATTGACTAGGCCCCCCCGTGTGGTTCTGGGATTTTTGCTCACCGTTCTTGTGATCATTTTGACCCCACGGGGTGAGATCTTGCGTGGAGCCCCAGATCGAGGGAGATTATCAGTGGTCTTGTATGTCTTCCATTTTCTAATAATTGCTCCCACAGTTGATTTCTTCACACCAAGCTGCTTACCTATTGCAGATCCAGTCTTCCCAGCCTGGTGCAGGTCTACAATGGTGTCCTTTGACAGCTCTTTGGTCTTGGCCATAGTGGAGTTTGGAGTGTGACTGTTTGAGGTTGTGGACAGGTGTCTTTTATACTGATAACGAGTTCAAACAGGTGCCATTAATACAGTTAACAAGTGGAGGACAGAGGAGGCTCTTAAAGAAGAAGTTACAGGTATGTGATTTTCTGGATTTTTTTTCTCATTTTGTCTCTCATAGTTGAGGTATACCTAGGATGAAAATTACAGGCCTCTCTCATCTTTTTAAGTGGGAGAACTTGCACAATTGGTGGCTGACTAAAGACTTTTTTGCCCCACTGTACATAA